TTTTGCTGTGTAAAATCTGATGAAAAAACCTACTCACACCATGCTTGAACTTCTGACCTAAATAAGTGCAAACTAATAAATAAGTATTGTTTAAAAAAAGTAATTGAAAAGAGTAATTTATATCAGAACACAGCACCTGAGAAGTAAATTTCATGTGTTAAATGAGAAATTTGCTCACTTATTAATATGTGCCCATTTTGGTTTTTTGGATCAACTAAAAGTTGGCTTGGAATATATTCATGAAATTTTTGTTTTTGAAATAAAGTGAAGTAATAATGCTAAATCAATGAAGATTGATTCTGTGGTCTATATATTCACCTTTTTAGCAATGCATAGACACATACATTGCAGAACCTTTTTAATATAACAGATATAATGCCAACAAAATTTCAAGATCTTAAATTTTTAAATTTACATTAATCATGGACTTAAAAATATACTATGTCAAATATAGAGATTTCAGCCTAAATATATTAAGGTCTTTCTCAGTGCAGAGAGCTGAATTGATTAGTTATACCTCTCCCAGAGAAGCTTGCTTTTAGGAAAATTGGTGGGCAGGAGAACAAAAGGACTATGCAGTTTTCCTAGGATAGACATTCCATAGGCAAACCTCATGCCACAGTTGATAAGGACAACCAGTGGACAGATCAACTTTCTTCTTTTAATCTAGGTTATGCTTTCTTTTGTGAGATACTTGAAGTCCTAACAGTATCTCTGCATCAGTTACTGTATAATAATACACAGAGCAATTGATAACAGAAGGAGTATATACCAAGGATGCCTAAGGAAGCCGGTTGTAAAATACACACTAGTGAAAGTGACACATAAGACTTTTGTCATGTATGGAGCAAAGAGTAGATCATTCACTAAGTGGTACAAAATGTTATCATATTAGCTTTGAAATAGGAGAGCAGAAGGAAAGGGCTCTGAAGTAAGAATAATCTGTGGATCCAGCAGCCGTGCCACTTGAGATGGATTTGGTGAGACTGCTGCTCTTTGATATATTAGAAGTGGGAAGAAATATATGGCATTTGTGCAAGCCTCAATGGGGGAATTGCAATATGGTTCTTTAGTTTCTTAGTCACAGGTAATGCCATATGTGGTGCAGGACTATAGGCTTGAAACAAAAAAAACCAAAAAAAACAACTCCTAATATGCTACTGAGCATTTGTAAGGAAGGAATGACTTGACCAAGGGATCCTAATTGGATCATGTAGGTATGTGATCAGAACTATCCATCACAATCTGGCTCCTGACCAACTAAAGCATAATGTCTTGCTGCTCAATAACAGCCTATCAAATGAAGTGGTGCATCTAAGATGGATAATGTTCTGTCTGCAGTTCTGCATTTAGTTGGGTGAGAATTTCTAGAGCCTGCAATGGAGCTTAACTATTTTATTTGCTCATTTCTGCTTCCTCCTCACCCTTTTCATAAGTATTGATCCCTAATATACATCTTAAATCTTACTCTTCATTTAAAATTTATTTTTGTACACATGAGTTTTAAATTCTTCACTTAAAATTTATTTTTGTATACACATACCTCCCAAGTCTCTAGGGTTACAGGCATGTGCCACTGTGCCTGGTGAATTATCTCTTTAAAAGACTTACTGACTCAATGAAATCACATTATTAATTATCTTATGAAAAATTCAACCAGAAAGTACTAAAATTAATATTTTCTATCCTCCTATCCCACTAAATTTCAAATTTCCCTCCACTGTAATATACTACTGACACTTGACATATTGAGATTGATATGGCACCCTTGTTCTACTTGTTGAGTTCATATGCTAAGAGTGAAGATCAGAAAATTCTAATGGGTGCAATATTTATTAGACGTGACATGAAAATAAATATATATACTGTATAATATAATGCAAGAAATATGGTTATTGCTTCCTTGTCACTCATCCTAGGGAAATGGAATTTTAGTGTGAGGTTACTTCTGAGAAGGAATGGAAGTAAAAGCACATTCTGGATGATTCAGAATAAAAGAGCAATATCTGTCAGTGTTGAATGGCCATAAGCCTTCCTGATGAGAAATATGTGATGAAAGTTGAATTATCTCCCCCTTTCTTTTTTTTTTGGGGATTGAACTCATGAACTCAGGGCACTCTAACACTGGGCCACATGCCCAACCCTATTTTTTATTTTATTCAGAGACAGAGTATCACCAAGTTTCTTAGCACCTCATTTTTGTTGAGGCTGGCTTTGAACTTTGGATCCTCCTGCCTCAGCCTCCCAAGCCGCTGGGGTTATAGGTATGTGCCACTATGCCTGATGAATTATCTCTTTAAAGAACGTACTGACTCAATGAAATCACCATCACTCAATGAAAATATATGTGCTTAACGGAGAAAGTTCAAGTCAACACTACGTTACACATTCTAACAATCAAATCATTGCTGTCAATTTATAATAAACGTAATTATAAATATTTACATTGCATTTCATATTTGTATAAACATAAACAAATTGTTATTCTGATGAATGTATTTATTATATATATATAAAGAGATGATACATATTTTTAGTGAAGGTAGAGTAATGCCACATACATATCCTTCAATATTAGGAGCAGTTCAAATCGAGCAAGTTTACAAAGCTTGTGTCCTTACTATCCATTAAATTTGTGTGTCCCTTTGGGTCACATATTTGTATCTATGCCTAATATCCAAACAGGAGAACTATACTAAAGAATGCTTAAAAATATGGTTCTCTTTAAAACATGGGATTTTATATATATAATGAGATCATAATGCTATTATAACATGTAAATTTGACATTAAATAAATAAGATTGCAAAGGTTACTTAATCCAATTTTGGGAGAGAACATCTGCTCAGCAATAGGTAGCTGTATAGGAAATGGAATGGATGTAAGAGAAGATGTAAGTGCTAAATTCTATATATTTTAAGTCTGCTGTATGCAGGACTCAACTGAATTATTTTTATACCTACAGACAACAAAAAACTATAATATCTGCCAAATATATTGCTAAATAATGAAATGAAAAATTCAAAAAACAAGGCTTAAAGCAGTAATCAAAAATATTTGTGCTACACTGAGTTGAAATTATGCAATGATTTGATTACATAGTTTTTATGACCTTAGCCTGGTTTAAATTACTTGATAACATATCAGTGAAAGAAGAGCTGACTATGGAAACAGAAAAAAAAGAAAAGAGAAAGTATCAATGCAAATATTTTCCTCAAGTGAAAGTGAAAAAACCCATGGGTCAGGATTTTGAAGTCTCATTAAGGAGCTTTAAGCAGTCTTAATCTGAGATTGTTAAATATCCTGTTCATGCTGTAATTTTCCTTACTCATGCTCTAGATTCATCAAGAAAGTTTTAGTCACATTTTCTTTCCTATGTATTATAAGAAAAGGAAATGAATGCCCTAATTTCTGGTATAGTGATTTCTCATTATAAATTAACAAATGTGCTTTGTTATTATATATCCTTCTCATAAGCATAGAAATCTGCTTCCAACAATTACCTGTGGTTTAAAGTCACATTTTGAACTTGGTGAAATTGGCTACAGTAAACCATTATAAATTGTCCATGAGGCTGTCACTTTCTAAGTTCAGGGAGAGTCAATTCACCTTCTATCCAGCCCTGTTTAATTCCTGGAATATTCAGCCTTAACATTACTTTTCTTCATGGTTATACTTGAGAACTCTACTGTATAAGAATTAATTTATTTTCTCTGTCGCTCACCTAATATCTGCTATATTTTCTCTATCTTGAAAAATTAAATATATTTAAAAAAACCGATATTCTTGAATCCAAGTTATTTTTTTTTCTCTTTTACTAATGTCCTTGATTTCACTCACACTTTCCATTTTAGGCATAATACTATTATTGTTTTTTTTTTTTTAATAAATCTTCTCTCCTGAGACACATGAAGTATGCACAAGGAATGTTAACTATCCAAAAATTTTCATCATTAAAAGAAATAATAAGGATTCACCTGTTTGGGGGTATTGTTTGAATGTGTGGTAAATGAGTGATGATCGATTCATTAATATTTCTCATATTTTTATGAAAAACTCTGAAGTTGAATTCACTTGAAACTAAAAAAAAAAAAAAACAAGTAAACACTGGTGGCCCTTGAGCTATTATTTACTCTTCTTCATGTTCTCTAACATGGTTCCATCCGTTCTTCTCAGAAGGGCTCAGGCCTGAAACCCTATACTACACATGTGAGAGCCAAGGCAGAGTCCCCAGAGGAAGAACAGTATGCAGTATTAATTTCCTGAACATTTTATGCTATTCTTTTGATGACTCAATGTACCTCTGTGTCCTAATCAATAGAATCCAATACTGGAAATTTCTTATTATTTCTTGATATAATTTCTTCTTCTAAAGAACTGATAAATCACATTTTCACAATTCTACATAAGTGAATAGAAGTTTCACAAATTGTTTTGACATTTCAGAATCAGTGAATTCTATCATTCAAAAATGATATGGTTTGTGAAATAAATTTTTGTACATAATTTTTTAAAGATGTCTTCATGAATGGACACATATTGCCTATATTTTATATTAAGAATTTACATGTATTTGTGAAAAATCATTAGTAATAAAAAGCACACATTCACTCATCAAATCTAACATGTTAGCAATTGTCTTTTCACAGGGCAAGTTTTAAAAAGGATAATTTCCCCAAGAATAAAAGTTTGGTGATTCTGTTAAACCTTTTCATCTGTAATAATGGCGATTTAGGGTATAGCTCAGAGGTGGATCACTTGCCTAGCATTTGCTAACACCTGAGTCCAATGCATAATACTTCAAAACACAAGTGGAAAAATAAATAAATGGTAAACACTTTCTACTCTATCTTAAGTTATTCTTAAGGATAATGTGTCACCGGAAATGTCCTTCCAATCCCACTGCACTTCAATTAAAATATGGAAAATGAAAGGTTAATCACATAGGTACACTGAATATCAGCATGAATTAATCAACATATTTTGAAATCATTGACTCACTTTGAACTCCATGGGAGCGTACTATTTTCCAGGTTTCTGATGCCACTTCCTTGACATCCACTTGATAGTGATGAATAGGCACACCTCCATGGGAGTCCGGCTTGCTGAAAGAAAGTTTGGCTGTGGTCTGTGACAGCTCTATAATCTTTACTCCATAGGGACTGGATGGCACATCTGTGAAGGAACAAACACAATGGACACATAACCTAGTTTAACGTAGATGGACATTATTAAGTCTTGCAGTGTCATGAGAATTAAGAGTGAAGGAAAATTGCTGAATATATCACTACTTAGTGTGTTTAAATTACAATGTCCACTTAAACACTCCAATTGGCTCTTAATAGCAAGAAAATTACACAAGTGCATTTCTATTACCACAGCAAATAACAATAAAACATTCAGCAAATTAACTAAAATATTCACTTATTCAGAAAATATTTTATTTCCATAGTTTTATGTAAGAACAACATATTTTTGATGTCAAGGAAAACAAGTTTCTGCGTTATTATTAAAACAAGTTTGTGTGTGTATTAGTCTGTATGTGTATGTTTGAGAGAAAGACTGACACAAATAAAGAGAGACAGATATTAGAGGTAATATCTGTCTTTACCTCTAAAGGGGAATAATTAAAATGTAAAATAAATCTATTATTTGATCATTACAAATAATTTTTTGTGAAATGTTTTAATTTTACAGAAAATGTTAATATGTTTATTTTTAATGTTTTGTTTGCATTTTAATCAGTGCATTATAATCATACACAATGCTGGGATTGGATATTATGTATTCATACATGCACACAATACAGTATAATTTGGACAAGATCATTTCCTGGCATAATCCCTTTTCCTCCTTTTCTCCCTCCACTTGGTCCCTTTCCTCTACTGTATTGATCTCCCTTCCATTTTCATGAGATCACCATCAAAATTCTTTCCATTTTACCTCTCTAGCTTCCACATGTGAGGGAAAACATGACCCTTAACTTTTTGAATTACAGATTATAAATCATACCATCATTTATAATGCACTTAATTAAAGGAAACCTTTAGTTATTAAGGTTTTTTTTTCTTTTTTTCCTATCAGGGATTAACTCTTAACTCTTTTCCCTCTTTTCTATATTATGTTTGACATAAACTTTGGAAAAAGAAGCAGATATAGATATTTTCAGAAAGAATCTATACACACAGATATTTTGTCAATGTACATTTCTATCCTGATATCAATTAGGTATTCATGTAAAAATTGCTAAGGCAGTCAAAAGTCAAATGATCCATGTTTGCAAGAGTTAGGACAGTGTACACCAGAACACATCCAATTATGTCTTATCATGGTTCTAGGCAAAAGCTAGGATTACAGGATTATGGCCTTTTGGACCAATATTACAAAAAAATGCCTCACTATATAGTTTAACTGAAAGTCACTTAGAGATGCTATGAAGTACATTTTGTTATAACTATAATGTTCAAATGTAGATGTGTTGAATAATGATGGCACCAAAGTCACAGTACTATTACAATCTTATCTAGAAATAAAAAATTCAAGTCATCTAGATAATAATGTATTAAGCTGTTAGACATAAAATATTCTCTCAGTTTTCATATTTTTTACTGTCTAGGTTAAACTACAAATATTTTCATATGTAGCTTTAATCCAAAATGAGAAGGAAATCAAACAAACATGGAATGCCCTTAGAAGATGAACAATACTTCAAACCACACTGAGCAACTGTCCTACATCCTAAATTGGCATTGGTCTAAATTGGCATCATAGCAATTAGCATAATCCTCAATTCAGAGACATGTGTCAAAAGTGAAGGTAGTAGACTCTGGGGGATGAAGAAGAAACGTTTTACTTCTGACATTGGCAGAATATACATGATCCTTTGTATGCACCACTCAAGAAGAGATGAACCCTGATGTGGTGCAACTGGAGAAAAATAAAGCCTCCACTCTCTTAAGCACAAAGTGAGCATCACTCAATATTGGCCATAGCCTTTACTTTTCTAGTTATATAGTCTATTTTCAGATCTGTTGACTCTTGACCTTGATTTTTGAAATGTATACTAACTTTGTTGTGCTCTTCTATTGTCAGATTAAAAATGAAAGAATTCTTATATCATGCAGATCTTGTCTTTTTACTTTTTCTTTTTACATTCTGAGTATGTTCTATTACTTACTGACTACTGAATTATATTTCTTCCAGAAAGTAACAAAACTTTCATACATACACATATATTTATACAGACATCTCTCTATATAAAAGTAACATTGAGCAAAATAACTAAACTAAGTCCTCAGAAAACATTTGATAAATGAAAAGTCAGAAATTAAAAATGACATGCAAACTATGTGAGGTGTAAAAACTATGTGAGACACTATATTTGTTACTCAGGTAAACTGAACCATTTCACATTGTGTGCATACTTCAAGACCTCATGATTTATGTGGTAAGTGCATACAATTTGTCTGTCAACCCTGAAAGTAAAGAAAAAAATAATACAGATAAAGAACATGTCCAAGTGTCTGGAATCAATATTTTGAATTTTTCTCTTCACTTTCTTAATAATTTGGTGATCATCTTAATCCTATTTTATGCATATAATAGTTATTCACCACATTATTTTAATAATATCTGCATTAATTCTTGTATCTATCTTGTCCTCATTTCTAATACTCACCCCCAAACTTTGGACCTACCTGCCTCTGTCTGTAATGACATTTAGTTTCCTTTTCTATTGGATTCACCACAAAAACTTCAATACGCATGGCATGTAAATGCAATATTAGTCTTTCCAAAGAATCACTCTAATTGCTTCCCTGAAGGGGACATTCAGGCATTTCATTCTCATTATAACATCAATCTTAGCCTTTTCTATCTTTCTCTCAATATCCTAGATTATCTAACATGCGGAATGTATGCAAACAGAAGACTACTGTGGAAAAGCTATCAACATAGTCCAGTATAGACGTTCAAAACCACACGCAGTACTTCCGTCATTGTTAGCATGTATTTTTAAACCTCTTTCTAGCATCTTTTATCTCAATGATTAATGAATGCCATCCCACTGAATGAATAAATGATCACTCTTTCTTTTCAATTCTACTGGTACTGGTATAGCATTGGACTAAGAGATTGGATATGGGATCAGAATTTATGGATCCAAAACGTGGCTTTACCAAATTCTCAATGGCAATCTTTAACTAATTCCTTAATCTTGCATTATTCTCTTTAAAATAGAAATTTGAATAATATCTATTACTATAATTGGGGGGGACGTGTCAAGTGACAGAATGTGTAAAACAGAAACTGGAATACACTGAGCATTTGGTGGATACCACTTACTATAATTTCTGCTCTCTCCTGGTAACTACCTGCCTTCTATTGCATCTCTCTCATCAATTTACAAACATCAATATTTCCATGAAATTGTAAGTAATTGGTACAATACCAAGGTTCGATATCGAAAATTTTTCTTTGCCTAATAGTAGAGAGATAGTGTCATGATCTGGGTTTCAGACAGAAACAATCTCTGAAGGCCCTGTAGGACCCTGGGCACATGACACATATTGTGTATTTATTTCCTAATGAGCAAAAGAGCAACAATAATATTAATATTAAAGCTGTGATAGTAAGTTGATGGATATAAATCACTCTGCATTCACAAATATAATTTTCCCTCATCTTCTTCTAAAAGTTATCTACATATAAATAATATTGGTAAACATTTTGATATTTAAACTTATGTCTGGTACCATATATTGATTGAAGTATAAATGTGACAATATAAAAAAAAATCTGCCTTGTTGATAAGTTAACTTCATAAGATACAGAGAAAAAGTGGGGGAGAGTTTTTTCTCTTATTTGATAAAATAAAGGAATTCAATAAATAAAGAAGAATTAATAGGTGAAATGAAAGTATATGCAGGGCAATAAAGTCTGGAAACAGATTTAAAAGAGCACATTGAGTTTGTGTTCCCTGTTTAATAAGAAAGCATCTCAAAATGATGATAACAAAATAAAGCAAAATCTTAAAACCATGCATTTGAATGTACTACTGGTGTGGACAAAGAGGCAGACAGCAGAGGAGATCTGAATAAGCACATTTTAAAAATGACGCTTCTATTTTACTCAATACCACTTTGGCTACCTGGAATCTTTTGAGGTTTTATATGAATTTTAAGATTTTTTTCTATTTATATGAAGTGCACCACTGATATTTTAATTTGACAGAGATTATACTGGATCTCTACAATGCTTTGGGTATTATGAACATTTTAGAAGTATTATTCTTCTAGTCCATGAACAGGGAATATCTTTCAACTTACTTGTGTCTTCTTCAATGCCTTTCATCAGCGTTTCATAGTTTATGTGATAGATATATTTAAACTTCTTTATTGAGTGATTACTAGAAAAATAATTTTATTTTTGTAGCTATTACAGATAGGATTGCTATCTTGATTGCTTTTTTTTAGATACTTGCCTTTTTATATAGAAATGCTATTAAATTTTTATGTTGATTTTATGTCAAGTAATTTGCTGAATTCATTTATTATCTCTGACAGTGTTTGGGTAGAATATTTATAATTATCTATACATAAAATCATGTCACCTGAGAAGAAGGACAGTTTGACTCACTCTTTTCAAATTTGGAAGTCTTCTTTATTTTTAATTGCTTCCCAAGTTCTCTGACTCACAGTTCCAACATTATGTTGAAGAAAGCAGTGGAAGGGACATGCTTTACTTATTTTGGATCTTAGAGGAAAAACTTTCAACTGATCCTTATTCAATGTGATATTAGTTTTGGGTTTGTTATAGATAGTGTTTCCTGTGTCAAAAGGGTTTGCATCAAAGCCATAAATAGAGTATTACCTGAATTCAAAATATAATGCAAAGCTATGATGACCAAAACTACATAGTAATGCCAGAAAAAGAGATGTTATCGATGGAGAAACAAAAATACATGTGCACATGTAGAGCCTTCTCTCTCACCAGATACAAAAACAACTCAAAATCGACCAAAGAGTTAAATATAATACCTGAAACTCGGAAACTACTATAAGAAAAGAGGGAGATGTTTTATGATATTTTGGGGGCAAAGATTTTTCTTTTTTTTAAATATGAACTCAAAACATAGGAACAAAAGCAAACCACACAAGTACTATAAAGTATTAAAA